AAAGGCTCGCAATTGCCAAGCCTGTAAAGCTCGCAATTGCGAGATCAGAGGCCTGCAACTCTGCTAAAGCATACCAGCAAATTCCCTAAGTTCAAAATCACTCCATGGCCTATCCAAAACTCACCCGAGCCCTCGGGGCTCCAAACCAAACATGCACACAAGTCTAAAAACATTATACGTACTTGTTCGTGCGATCAAATCGCCAAAATAACATCTTAAACTACGAATTTAACACCAAAACTCATGAAACTTTCAAGATAGTTCAAAATTTCTAACTTTTCAACCAAAGGTCCGAATTACATCAAATCACCTCCGTTTTTCACCAAATTTCACAGACATGACTTAAATATTATATCAAACCTGTACCGGGCTTCAGAACCAAAATACGGGCCCGATACCAACGAGATAAAATACTATTCCATTTCTAAAAATCCTTCTATTTTCCAGCAAACAATTTTCTTCAAAAAATTCATTTCTCGGGCTAGGGACCTCGGAATTCGATTTCGGGCATACGCCCAAGTCCCATATTTTTCTACGGACCCTCCGGGACCGTCGGAACACGGGACGGGTCCGTTTACCCACTAAGTGTAGTGTGGGTAAAACTGTTAAGGACCGTCGGAACACGGGTAAGAATCCGGGTCTGGATTCTTAAACGAAAGATGACCTTCTGGGTCATCACATTCTCACTAAGTGTAGAGTGGGTAAAATGAAAAATTTAAAGTTAAATTGTTTCTAAATATGGAAATGTGTTATTATCTTTGGAACGGACTAATAAGAAAAGTGTGTCATTTATATTGTTTATATTACCTTTTTTAGTTCAGAACGTTATTTTGTATCGAGTGAAGTTTAAGTTTCGCTCTTGTTCATTACCTTATCTGACTGCAGTGCCAGAAAACACGTACTGTATTAATGAAACGATTATAAAAGAGGGTTTCCTCAGAAATTAATGTACAGTCTTATTTAATAAATAGATAAGTACATCCGTAATAAATAAATAAATAAATAAATACATCATCTTGTTGAAAATGTAGATAAGGCGCATTTTTCTGCTCTAGTGCAATAACTTTTGATGTTGTGACATGCAAGAAAGAAATTAAAGACATATACAACCTTCATATTAATGGTCAAAGAATGCATATGCCAATGTGAAGCTCCGGAAAAGTTCAACGAGACTCAACTCTATCATAAACTCAAACTTACATTATCTAATCACCAGAAAATGCAGTACTCCCGTTATGCTAATTTACGTGATTGTGTTCTGTTTTCAAGAGTCAAATAATTTTTTTTTTTCATATGATTTTTATTGTGACATATAATTTTTTTTTTTTTTTACATAGTTTTCAATATGTAAATTTTATTTCAAAAAACTTAAAGATTTCATGTTCAATTATACGATCAAAATTAAAAAGTTCGAATCTCGAAAAGCAAAAATTATCTTATAAATTAGGACAGAGGGAATATATAATATATCTCCGTTTAATTCTCGTCAACAAAAAATTTTGACGAGTAACTAATCGATTACCTTTATTTCAGTTATTCTTTCCCTCTTTCTAGTCTATTTTTTGTTCCTCCAAGTATACGATAACTCCAAGAGGTTGTTTCGAAAAACTTATTTATTCTAGTGTGGACGGACGATAGTTAGACGCGGCTCTCCTAGGGTTGGTTCCCTCATTTGAGATCTCTATGAATTGTAATAGAAAACTTTATTCTTGAATATTTTTTTTTAAAAAAAATTAGAGCGCGTAGCAAGTCGATAAAATCTAAATCAAAGTTCAAAAAATCAACCAAATTCGATTTCTTATTGAGCCAAAAAAAAAAAAAATCTAATAATAAAATGGCAAGAACCATCTTCTTCCTCAACCCAAATTCTCTTTTCCCGGCCCATTTAGCAATTGATTAGTGCATACTGTTACGTTATATAAAATATGGATCTTGACCAGATTGAGATACCCAAGTTCTACGGTATATATTTTGATTGAAAACCCCAAAAAAATGCTAAGAGTTCTTAATTATGCTCAATTAGTTGAGACGCATAACAAAAATTATCAAAATGTAGAGTACAATAGACAAAATAAAACAAGAAACGTCTTTCATGCAGATGAGACATATCATAAAAAGTTATATTCAGGACTTTTTTTTTGCTTTCTAACTCGGTGTTCGGTATATGTATTATGGCCCGACTAAATCTGGATATGTCGGAATGTTTCAAATAAAACGATTCCTAGCAAAGGCGACTCCATACACAAAGCTTGACATTAATGCCGAGCACATCAAACATCTAAAATTTTCTTCTTGTTTTTCTCCCTTTGTCGACTTCAATGTTCCGTTATTTTTTGAAAATTTGCCTTAAATTCATAGAGTTCCAAAAACAGCGTTAGCCCACGGCTTTGGAAAACCTTTTGCCATGCATGGAAATTGGGAAAATTGCAGGTGTCGTTTTTAATTTCATTATCATTGGTTTATTTTAGTCGTTTATGTTGTTAGAGAAGTGATGGAAAATCCCTATCAATGAATATGACTGCTTATTACTACACTATGAAGCTGCAATATCTAGAAACGCAAATTGATAACATAAGGTAATACATTAAAAATCCACTTAGAGTTTGAAGTGGTAAGTCATAGTGAGAAGATTTATGGCGTATAATACATGATAGAAGATATTAGCACACAATAACATAAAATTCCGCGTCGAAATTGATAATACATATAATATAGCGTTCAAATATTCATCATAATATAGCATTAATGATTGAAACGAGGTTTTAACTTTTATACCAACTAGGGGTGGCAAAATAGTTAAAAGAAAACAGTTAACCACTCATATTATCAACTAAAACATGAGTTGGATAATGAATTTTTTTTAAAACGGGTCAAATATGGATAAGAACCATATTATCCATTTAGAAAATGGATAACATTTGTAAAACCTCACATTGGGGTTTCCACAAGTTAGAGAGACTAAGAATTCTCTCAAAAGTGATAATATGCAAAAAGTCATGGATAATATGGTTACCCATATTATCCGCCGGTTAACCCGTTTTTATCCGTATTAAATATGGGTCGGTTTAGATAATTTATCTATTTTTTCATTACTCGTTAAACCATATCCAATCAGACCCGCCCGTTTGCCACACCTAATACCAACTCGTATGTTTGGGTGTGGCTGACACGCTATTTAAGTGGAGACATGATACTTCAAGACCTATACTCAGTGGCGAAAGTAAGATTTTCACCAAGGAGATTTAAAATTTTTAAAAACTAAACACGTGAAGAGCCTGAGAGGTTTCAACATTTAATATACATACATGAAAAAAAAAATGAGAAATTTTCATAAAGCACTATCTTTTAGTGGTAATTAGCTATCTATAAATACCATTTGCTATATTACGGATTGTAGATACGTTTTCTGTTGTTATAAGATGTATTAGATGTATTTAAGCTAATGTATTCATGAATACAGTAGCAAAAATAGGCGTGAATCAGGGAAGTCCAGCTAATCAGTTGTTGTATTCGAGTGTATTCGACTGTATTCATGGTGTGAAACATGGGATTACAGCTGAACAGATTATTGTATTCGACTGTATTCACGGCGTGAAACAGGGGATTACATTGTTTTTAAATGGAAAGTGAATCAATTAACATAATAGACTCCTAATATAACTCAACAAACTCAATTATAACACACAATTTTTGTATTTTCAGTTATTAAAAAGATTCTCAACCGAAAAATACCCCAAAAACATAGCAATCTTCAGAGAAATTATATAATACATCTGAATACATAAATATATTAATTAAAAAAATATATGAATACATTCATGGCATAGCGGGACAGCAAATACAATGAAATACATAGAATACAGCGGGATACATTGAAATACAATGAAAAAAAATAGTGAATACAATGAAATGCGTGGAATACAGCGAGATACATTGAATTACAATGAAAAAAAGACAATGAATACAATGAAATACATAAAAATACAACGTGATACGTTGAAAATACATTGAAATATATTAACAGAAATCTTCTTCTTCATCGCGATTAATTGAATACCAGGGCTTCTAATTTGATTGAAAAGTTACGGATGACGCTGTTAACACTGGGAAAGGTTTCAATGGATGGAAGCTGGATAATTTTCCTAGAAAGTAGGTGATAGAGGAAGAGATAACAATCTTTAGGTTGTATGCAAGCAATCCATCCCTTGGATAATGATCCCACACAAACGGAATCGACATCAGGGATCATCACTTGGTGCTCATCATCCTGTACCCGTATGAGTATGACATCCCCTTCGGCCAGTCTGTAGAATTTCAAAAGGGTGCTTTCCTCCTCAAACACCGGCGGTAGCATCAACCACGGAGCCACACATCTGCTGCTCACCATAGGACTACTGCAACTTCCATCAAACGATTCTCTAATTCCATGAACACAACTAGGTCTTACCACCAAGGAAGAGCTAGGGTTTCTCGTTGGATTGAGATTGAGCATCGTGTTTTCAGAGAATGGGGGAAGAGAATGGCATGTATCAAAGTAGAGAAAGAGAATGAAAATAGTGTAACTGAATAGCGTATTTTAGTGACTTAGGGGTAAGAGGTAATCAAAATTAGATATTTGCTATAAACTTTAAAAGGTATTTATAGAATATAATTTAAATGGTATTTATTTAAAATAAATAAGGTGTTAACCTTTGCTATAGGAGGTAAAAATTCCAAAAAAAATTAGTTAACCTTATATACACAATGTAATTTTCGACGAATGGGGTCAACCGAATCCCCTTCCGCCCAATTAACTACATGTATTGCATGGTTTAGATTATTCTTCAAATCACTTTAAGAACGAATTAACCTCTATTTATATATATAGAGTGTCTATCAGTTAAATTTTATGATTAAATATGTCTAAATTTGTATTCATGCAATTAAGATTTATGTCTTATATATGTATTTATATACAGCTTGAACCATGCGACAATCTATCAAACTACACCAAATCAACATAACACTCAATGCTAGCTGCCGACTACCACAATAAACGTTGTAGTAAATTTATTTACAATGGATTAAAAAGCCACTCCATCTTCTATAGACCCAACTTTAATTATGTGAAAGAGTATATATTATTTACATCAAACATATAATATCATGATTAAACATTATGACAATACATGACATGATTATTAAGTATAATAATTGTCTTCCTTCGGTTCGTCCCATCAAACAGGAATATTAGACACGTGGCATAACGAGTGATCATTAGTTGATACTCTTGAAAAATTCCAAAGATCACACTCTTCATTATAATCATGATTATGAGTACTGCCACCTCCCCCATTGCTACTGTATTGGTGCTGATAATCATGATTATAATTATCATTTGTTTGGCCATTAAGATGTGAAGCAACAAGACGATCAACTGCAATCCAATTATTCAAACCTCCTTCAGAATTTATAGACTTTGGAAAATCTCCATAAGAGGAATTTGGGCTATCTAGGGTTGGAAGTTGCATGAATTTGTCATTGAAATTAATGTCATAATTTGCATGGTTTTCTTCTTTGCATGTATTTCTCATATATTGAAGTAGTTGTTCTAAAGCTCCTTCATCATTAGGATAGAGTCTTTGATTTATTCTTGTGTCTGAAATTGAGGGATTGACCATTTCAAGAGATTTGAAGTGATTTTTCTTCTTGAATATGCGACAAACAACCCAACCTTCTTCTTGTGTTGACTCTCCCATTGCAACATTACAAACCTTTAAATCAAAAAAAATAATCAACTAATTTGTTAAAGAGTTCAATTTCTATATTGAAAGTGTAATACTAAAATATAGCAGTATAAACGAAGTTCTATATGCTGAAAGTGTAAATAGTATATACTAACAAAGAAGTACTCCCTCTATTTCATTTTCTTTTGCACATAATATATTTAATGAAGAAAGATTTTTTACCGTTGTTTTAACATGTAATGATATTTGTATAGTTATAACATAGTGTGGGTAAAATTAATGACAAATTTAAAGTAATCAAATATGAAAATATTAGTAGTATTATTTATTGAACACACTAAAAAGGACATGGTGCTATATAAATTAAAATAGAGGGAATTAGTAATAATTTTTGCACATATAAAATCTAACTTAAAGTACTTGTTGTCTAAATATATCATGTTATTTTCATGGCTATAAAAGTATGCCATTAAAGAAAAAATGAGAAGTTTATAGTGAAACAGTTTTCAAATATGAAAAATGCATCTTCTTGAAACGAACTAAAAAACATAATATCATATAAAATAAAACAGAGGACAAATTTTAGGGAGAAAATGAGTGTGATTTACTTACGATATTACAAGAGTGATCATTGATGTGATCATCCAATCTATACTCATGCATAATCCAGTCAGATTTTTGGCCATGAGGAGCTCTGCCTTTGTAGAAAACCAGAGTTTTTCTCATACCAATCCTTCTAGAATTAGAATATATGACTTTGTCACGCCCAGTAGCTTTCCAAAATCCAGCAGCAGTTGCTCTGTTTGTCCTTGTACCTGTTGGATACTTCTTATCCTTGTGACTGAAAAAATACCAATCATTTTGTGGAGTTGATCCAATTTTGCATTTCTCTGCAAAGTTAGAAAAAGTGCCTTGTTATTCATCCCATATAGTTTTTATTGCTACGTTGACGAGTGGTAACAAAGAAAAATATTTGAGTTCAATTTCTATAGACCAACAATGAATAAAAACAAAAAAGGGAGCTCCTGCTACGCGCGGGGTCCGGGAAAGGGCCGGACTACAGGGGTCTACTGTACGCAGCTTTATCTTGCATTTCTGCAAGAGGCTGTTTACACCGCTGGAAATCATGACCTCCTGGTCACATGACAACAACTTTTTCAGTTACGCCAAGGCTCCCCTTCACCAACAACGAATAAGAATTTTGAAATTATAGGCCACCTAGATGATAACAGTATGTAATCGTCCATAAGAGGTGGGAACAGAAACCAAGAAAACAAGGCAGATTACACTCTACAATATGTTAAAACTTACGTGCCACAATATGTTAAATATGACGCGCCACACTATGTTAAAAATATTTTATAGTGTCAGTGTATATAAGTTGGCGAATATGAAACAAATACCTTGAATATCCCAAGGCTCAAGCTTATTGAGATCAACTTCTTGGATAACATCCAAATCAATTTTCTCATTTGCAACTTTCTTCTTCAAGTAGTACTGAAGTAGTTCCTCTTCTGTTGGATGGAATCTAAATCCAGGTGGAACTTGAGATTGTCCATTTACAGAAATACTCATGTCGTCTGGCATAGAAATAATTTTTTGTTTTGTCCTACTCTTACTATATAGCAGAAAAGCAGTACATGAATAAATAAATGTAAGTGCAGAGACAGAGAAAGACAGATAGTAGAGGAACTTATATAAGTCAAGAAAAAAATGAAGGGGGGCACATGAGAAAAATACAAAAAAGATGGTACTTGATTTAAAAAAAATATAACTAAAAATAACGTTGGAATGTCATTTTATGCAGTTATGGTGGGGGCAATTTTTACTATACAACGAGAAGAGCCAGCCACCTGCATAGAAAGAGAAAGATTACTGGTATGTCCTAAAAATGAGTAGAATAAGTGGGGTTCCACAAAGAAAGAAAGTAACAAAAGGTATCACTATGAAAATATATGAAATTATAAATAGCTAGCGACTGCTAGGTAAGTAGATATATATATATAGTGTTCAACGTACTTAGTATATAGTCTACAGTCCTATTATGGAAAGGCTAATGAGATTTAGATTTTTTATATAGAAAGAAAGAAAAAAATGGATTTTATATCAGTCTAATGCATGCATTAGGATAGACTATCTATATCACATTTCTTGGGGTACGCTCTTTTCCGGACCCTGCATGAACAACGGATACCTTGTGCGCTGAGCAGTCCTTTATAGAAAGAAGAAAAAAGACATAAAAATAAATCTATACGACCTTAACAAAATAAGAGTTGCAGACAGAGAGTATATTTAATTAGTGAGTTCCCGTATTTTTGTTTGACTTAAAAGTTGTTTAATACTTTTTAAGCAAATCAATCAATATAGATGAAGGGGTAAATCATAGTCAACCATAATTAATACTGGATCAAAGAGCAGAATCATAAAGATAAAAGAGATAATTGAGATGACACTTGGGAAGTTTTATTGATTGTAGAAATTCGGTCTGCCTCTCCTTGGAGAGGTTCAGGAGATTACAATCAAATTCTTTCTCCCCCCTTCTTGGAGGCGGAATCTCTCTCTTTATAAAATTGTCTGGTCTCTCTTTCATGGAATTCCCCTCTGTTTTCGGATCCTCCCCCCTTTAAGGGGTTCTTCTGCCCTCTATTTATAGCCCAGAACTTCTCGTGCTTATCATATTTCATTCAGGCCGGGTCGGGGAGGTGACCTCCCCTCATGGGGAGGCCTCGACCTCGACGCTCATGTCGTAAATAGCAGCGTTTAGGTGAAGTCGAGTTCGTTGATTACTACTGCAGGGTGGTCGGGACGGGATCATTGCTGCTGTGGTCGTGTGGTCAGATTCTGATCAATACAGTTAGTCCCTCCGTTCGTCGGAGTCGAATCTTACCGACCTCGGCGGACGGATAATGTTTGTGACGTAATCGTAGAGGGAGTTAGATTCGCGTGTTTCTCTTTGGTGGCGTTATGAGTTTCGAAACTGCCCGAAGGCGTCTTTCTAATACTCTTATGTCGTCACGACGATTTCGAAACCGAAGAGCCGATTGATAAACGAAATGTTGCTTTGTACAAGCGGTCACAGTGGCGCACGTTCCCGAGAAGCTGAATCGTTTCATGCCCGGCCAGGTTCTGGCAGCGACCGTTGGTTTTTGTGCCCTGGAGAATTTGTGTCTTATAAATTGAAGGGGTTTGTCACTCGTTTCTCACACTTTATCGCTCATCTTCGAAAGAATTCCCAGAATATCTCCCTTTCTATTAGTTTGAGCTCTTCTTGACTCCTTTGCTCGCAGCAATCTTTAGCTTTCTCGCTTCTTCCTCAAAGTTCCTCCCTCCTCTCTTTGCGAGTTAAAGATGATAGGAACTCCTTCTCACGATAATCTTCCGGCTATCTCTCCGGCGGCCGGGGACCCTGCTTCGGCAGACGGAGACATTAGACCCGATGGAGTGCGAAGATGTTCCTTCAGTAGAGGAAATTTTATCCCGCCCGGGGAAGGCAGTTGTGGATTTCAGCGCCGATGGTGGAGCGGAGCAGGTAAATATTCCTCCCGTTATAGGGGAGATCGGAATAGCGGATTTAAGGGCACAATGGGGTATTCCTGGTTATGTCGAGATGGTACCGGCAAAGAGAGAAGATAGGGTCCAGATCGACCGTCCCGGGTTATGCTCGTTCTATGCTTACCCTTTCCTAGTGGGGTACACACTTCCGCTTCTAATGTTGGTGGTCGACTTCTGCCGCTATTATGAGGTGTGTCCCGCCCAACTCTCTCCTTACCTGTACAAGTTGTTCCTCATGTTTATCAAGTACGCGAAGCTAGCGGGTCGGGAGGTCACTTTGAGACACGTGCTCAGCCTGTTCGCTCCCCAAAAGATTCGCGGCACTATGATCCACGTGCGTCCCCGAGGGTCGAAAGGTTTAGTGGTCAAGATGGACGACAGGACCAATCGTCATTTTTCTGATAACTTTTTCTATGTGCGGACCGAGCACCTTGTAGCGGATCCAACTGGGTTTCCAGAAGTGTGGAATTTTGCCCGTAAGTCTTCGTCCTTGACTAGTGGAGTGCCCACTTTGGCCTCGCTNGAGAGAATCCAAAAAACGGACGATTTGTAACGAAGAAGGAGAAGAAGACTTATCTGAGTAGAACAGCTGGTACCATTGATCATGCCATGCATTTTGGATTAACCGGCCCAATCTGTCCAACCAATCAACTTTCAATTGCCATATTTGTTGCTACGGACTTTCATAACCTGATTTTTCACCCAAACCCTAACCTCGCTCATCTTGCAATGTCTTGAATAGCTTTCAACCATAGACTTGTCTCACTTGCCCATCTGAAAACTCACATTCGCCTTAAGGTGCCCGTGAGGGTTTTCACCAATAAGACTCTCTCATTTTTGATTTCTCTCAACTCACTTCGCCTTACGGTGCCCGTGAGGGTTTTCACCAATAAGACTCTCTCATTTTTGATTTCTCTCAACTCTCGTCGCCTTATGGTGCCCGTGAGGTTTTTCACCAATAAGACTCTCTCATTTTCATCATTTTTCTTCCTGTACCGGAGTGTTTCGCATGACATGAATCACTTTTACTTGCTCGTCTTGGCACTTCTTGAAGACTGATCGGAAGGTCTTTCTTTGGACCGTAATGCAGGCTTTTGGATGGGGTTAGAAAGAAGGGTATCTAAGGCTCAAAACAATTCAACATGGGTTCAGAATTACAACTTTCGGAATCAGATTTCTCACAACAACCACAACTTCTGCCCCAGTTTCTTTCTTGGGGACTTTTGGACTTTTATTTTGATGTGACTGAACCGCAGAGAGAGGTTGCCTATGTACCCTTTCAGGATCAAGTCAAACGTAGTTCAGGTCATAGGAATTACTTTGTTGTTGTGATTTCTCTTTTCTTTTCTTCCTCTTTCTCTTCTTTTCTTTTCATTTCTTTTCTCTTCTTTTCTTTTTCTTTTCTTTTCTTTTCCTGCTTTTCTTTTCCCCTTCTTTTCTTTTCTTTTTTTTTTCTTTTTTTTTCTTTTCCCTTGACTTATCTTTCACGCTTGTCTTTCTGATCTTTGCTACTGATTTCGAAAGAGGGGTATGAAAGAAAATGAATAAGGCTCAAAGGGGGAAACAAAAGATAAAGTGTTTGGATAGCAGAACAAAACGCCTTCGTCATTTCATTCTTCAAAATATGCCAAATACAAACAATATACAATTAGACAAAGAAATCATACATAGTATCTCTTGACCGCATCGGAATTGATAGCCATTTCTACACATTTTCCTTCCACATCTGTTAAATATAGTGCCCCATTGGACAACACTCTGGTTATAACAAATGGCCCCTGCCAGTTTGGGGCGAACTTTCCTTTTGCTTCAGCCCAATGAGGCAAAATACGTCTCAGCACTAACTGTCCCACTTCAAACTTCCTCGGGCGCACTTTCTTGTTGTACGCTCTTGCCATTCTTTGTTGGTACAATTGGCCATGACACACTGATGCCAATCTTTTCTCATCGATCAAACTCAACTGTTCCAGGCGGGTTTTTACCCATTCATCATCATCGATCTTAGCCTCCGCGATAATTCAAAGGGACGGGATCTCCACTTCTGCGGGTATCACTGCTTCGGTGCCATACACCAATGAATAAGGAGTCGCCCCTACTGAAGTTCGAACAGTGGTGCGGTACCCCAATAATGCAAAAGGCAGTTTTTCATGCCACTGTCTAGAACCCTCTACCATTTTCCGAAGTATCTTCTTTATATTCTTGTTGACCGCTTCAACTGCACCATTTGCCTTAGGGAGGTATGGGGTAGAATTGTGATGGGTAATCTTGAACTGCTCACATGTCTCATTCATCAAATGACTATTGAGATTAGCTCCATTGTCTGTAATGATCACCTTTGGTATCCCAAACCGACAGATGATGTTTGAATGCACAAAATCCACCACAGCTTTCTTGGTTACGGACTTGAACGTTTTAGCCTCTACCCACTTGGTAAAGTAGTCTATAGCCACTAAAATGAACCTGTGCCCATTTGACATTGCTGGCTCAATTGGCCCAATGACGTCCATGCCCCATGCAACAAAAGGCCACGGTGCGAACATCGCGTGTAATTCTGATGGTGGAGAATGAATCAAATCTCCATGCACTTGGCACTGATGACATTTGCGTACGTAACTGATGCAATCCCGCTCCACTAGTAAGCCAGTAATACCCGCTCGGAGGAGTCTTCTTTGTCC